TTTTATCATTTACAAACTATATATCTAAAAACATGTTTACTCTGGAAGTATAAAATGATGTACAAAATATCTGTAGATGAAGGCATACAATTGTGTCCAAAATATATTTAGTTGAAGCCATGAAATTGCACACAAAATATTTAGATTTTGGCATCGACCTATAAAGGTTGATATTCTGCTAAACAAAATCAATCAAGTTAATTTGAATTTGATTGGATGGTAAGTTATTAATTGAAATATATGAAGTCTGATCAAAAAGTATTCAAGACTGTTCCTATGGTAGTGGAGCTAAAGTAGAGAGTGAAGCTGCTTGGCATAGATTGATCTTGAATTCTGTTGTGCATGCACACTAAATTACAACATTCTCACTCACTTTTGTTGTTTATATCAGTGCTAGGAAAGAAAGGGTGTGGAGTGTGGTCATTTTATCACACCACAGAGGTTTCTTCAGTGATAGTTTAAGCAACAGTTTTAGGCCAAGCACAAAATTCACCACACGTCCAACAACAACCATATTCCCCAGATCTTGCTCTTGTGACATTTTTCTCTTTAAAGACTGAATCTCACTTGAAAGGATGTGATGAGACAGCTGCTCATTATCTGAAAAAAGGAGTTCCAGGAATGTTTTCATCAATGGAAACGATGCTGGATAAAAATGTGTGGCTTTAGAAGGGGACTATTTCATAAGAGATTAAATTTTGAATTGTTATGTGTTTTTTTCTTTTTATAGCACCAGTACTGATACTTTTTGATCAGACCTTGTTATTTTTAGTTTGTTAAAAATTTGTTTCTTTGAGAAGTTGAAATGTTCTCAAAATGGCGTGTGTGTGTGTGTGTGTGTGTGTGTGATATACACGTATTCAAAGGTAAATTAAGTAGAGAAAGTTATGACAAATTAGATTGGTGTTAATGTTGGAGGCTGAGTGTAAATCAAAATTCATTTATCATATGGCAGAGAAGCACGGACAAGTTTGCATGTGAAATCCTGTAACAGCTAATAAAAAAAAAAAAAGAAAGAAATATTCCTTTTTTTTTTTTTTTTTTTTTTTTTTTTTTTAATGTTCTTAATCATTTTTCCCCAAGTAAGGCAATAATAAAAGCCACAAAGAAGCAAATGGTGTGAAAGAATATGAGAAAAAGAAAACCTCATTAAGGAGAGAGAGAACAATTAAAAGGAATTGAGAAAACAGAAAATAACAATTGACATGGCATTTAAATTTTTGAAGTTCAAAATTGACTGGAAAGCAAGAAACCGGAAGAGTTTCACAAGTGAGAAGTGTGAGAGAAGAAACTATTAGCATAGAACTTATGGCTACATCTACCTATTTCAACTGTAAAATGATGAGACCTAGCTATTAATCTAGTACTGTGTTTAAAGTTGTAAAGTTTGTGTACCAAAGAGGAAAGCTCATCAGAAGAGCTATCATGAAAATATTGGAAAATTTGGACCTTTGTGCCCACAAAAAGCTGTCAAAACGATAGTTTTTCTCATGACACTGCTATTATTTTTTAAAAAGTTTTATTACAATTATCATCACTTTTTAAAACAAATAATGCTGAGGAGTGAAGGTAGTGAAAATAATATTGTTGTCAAGGGAAAAACTGTCTTTTGATACATTTTTTTTTTTTTTTTTTTTTTTTAAAAAGGGACAAGGAAACTCTGTTACAGCAGTGGGAAGTGACTGAAGTCGAGATGCTAGTCAGGACCAATAACATTGCAAATTCTTCTTTGTATTTTATCAAGAACCTCCAAAACCAGATGTGATGGCAATATTCAAAACATGGATGGATATTATTTCTTTTCAGAACTAAAAAAACTTTTTCTCATTCTTAGGTTATTTCAAGAATATATTGATTTTTAAATTGTATTAATAACTCCATTAGAATAAAGATAGTTTGAATAGAAAGTTTAAAAATATGGCTATTCATCTGTTGTTCAAAACATTTTTAGCATCAATTTTCTGTGTTTATTGGTCTAATATTCTTTTTAAAAAAATTTTCATTTAGCATTTTTTTTCTTTTTCAGGTAAAGATTAAAATAGCATTTATTAATTCTATGGTCTTTAAAGGTTACATATTGGTGTATTATAAGGTGTTCACATGTATACAATTAAAGAAGCATATCAAGACTTGGGTTTCTACTACAGATCATTTATTTTTTATTGTTTTTATATATATATATAAACAGTAGTGAAACAAAGTTCTCAATGTCTCTTGGGTATGTCTATTTTCATTTTGGACCAGAAGTTAATGATATATATTGTTATAATGGTCGAGCTCAAGGCAGCCTTATGCTAAGTTAAAATGACTAAAGAAAGGTTGTAACTTCATTGGTAGTTATAGTGTTTGCATTTAAGTTAACCTTGTGCTGACTTGGAACGACTGAAGTAAAACTTGTTTTACATCATTGGTGAAGTTTCAGCAAAACTTGTGTGAATGCCATGTGTTGGAAAGTGGAAGAGAATAAGTGTGGGCAACTCATGATTAGCATGATTATAATGCTTGCACTCATGTCAGTCTTGTGCTGAGTTGGAATGACCAAAGAAAAGGTTGCTTTACTTCATAGGTGGAGGTGTTGTAAGAGACATGAACCTTGTATTGGAAAGTGGAAACATTTCTGTTATGTCCCATCAGGAAGGTCCTTTTTCCATGTTGTGTTACATATTGAAGAAAGAAGGAGAAAGAGGAAGGGAATATTTGTCTTTTTATAGACTTAAACAGTGACACCTAATGGGCGTTTAGCGAAGCCAAGTGGGGTAATAAAATTTTCAGTTCTTTCATTAGCATCATGGGAAATGTATTTTATTCATTATTATTATTTTATTTAGTGATTTTATTTTATTTTCCCACATAACTGCTAAGTAAAATAAATAAACCAGGAGTGGCTAAGCTTGCTTAATATAAAAGCTGCATATGATAAAGTTCAGATGTTTGAGAGCTGTAAGACATCAACAAAATTTACATATATGGTTTTTGTTACATATGCATTTTGTTATAATTTTTTGTATAATATTAAGAAATACATGTATGCAATTTTTTAAACTGTTAATTCGTATTAGTTTCAGTGTATTTAATACAGTAATGAACTACAAGAATTTACCTTTTTATATTAACTGTGATGACAAAAGAATTTAGTCAACATATTTCGTGTGAGCTGCAGTTTGGCCACCCCTGATTAGTTTGATTTATTTTGTTTTGCAGCATATCAACACCTTAATGGGTTATTTAATGCTGAAAAGATTTTTATGATAGGTTTGTAGAAATCGAATATGTATTCTTTGTAAGATATCTGTTTGTAGGAGATCAGGTCTCATTGATGTATTTTTGTAAAAAAGGCTTTTTGTCGAGAGTCAAATCTATTGCTCGTATTTTTACTATAAAAATGTATTTTTATACTTTTATAGTGTTTTGATCCCAGTTTGTGGGTTAACTATTTGCCCATAGCTGGGGCCCTAACAGGTGCTGCCACCACAGGTCAGGGTGAGCTTGGAAACAACAGCAATTAGGTAGTTACCCCCACTTCCATATCAGAGGCCTTGCTGCTGGATGTAGTTCATTGTCATACTCAGGACACGTCACCCTTGAACTTAACTCTAACTTAATAGAACAGTTGGTAATAAAATCTTTCCTTTTAACTTAAGTCTAGTTTTTAAATAAAATAGCAAGGAAATAAATTTCATGCCTTATTTTTCAAAGACAATCACTATGAAGCAATTGCATTTGTTTGTGAAATGAAATTTCTTTAAAGCAGGCAACCTTTGTTTTGCTTATTACCAAAAATAATTTCCTTTGCTTTTCTCTTATTTTAAATGTCAAAACAACTGCTATTATTTTGTCACTGAAAGAAATATATTTGTTTCAGAGAATATTGATTAAATAACAGCACACAACAAACTCTTACTGTTCTTTCTTTCTTAGCATTCCAATTGGATAAATCATTTTTTTCTCTCTCATCCTTTCAGAGCATTCACTGAAAATTTAGTTATCTAATTGCCTGTTCTGTGGAACTCTCCTGTACATAGTGATATAAAAATAAACTTTTATTTATTTATTTTTATTTTAACTAAAAGCTTTAAATGGGGTGTGTGTGTGTGTGTGTGCCTCAGCTTATGAGTTGTAATAAAATACACTTTGTCTTCAGGGATGAGTCATATACTGCTTGGAATAAGGTCATCTCTTTCACTATTGGATTATTATTAGAAAAATGTTCATTCCAGTTGGCTGGCCTATAGAATACATTTACAGTATCAGATTTCTAAAGTTGTGGGATGAGGAAGTGTGTTGGAGAGGAGTTAATTTTATCTAGAATATAAAATCCTTAAATGTGACATTTGTAGTAACAATGTTTTTGATTGGTAAATTTTCTATCATTACCAGGTAAGTGTGGGCATGAATGAATGAAAGTGGTTGAAGACCTTTTAATTAAAAATATAAAAATATAATTGATATGCTGAAAGGATTCATTTTATTTTTATTTTTCTTATTAAATATTTCTCGTGAAACAAATTTGTAATATTGGAAGAGGAAGAACAATGGTTACTGCAAAAACATTTTAACACCTGCTGACAGTGGCTGCAACAATTAAGTGGGTTCAATCTTCATGCTCTTTCTATTATTTTAATTTTTTTTTATTATTTTTACTTTTTTATCATTTTTTGGCACTGATGTTCAAAGAACTTAAAATGATTACTTGGTTACTTATTTCAGTGCATAATTTTACTTAGTTAATTATTGCCGCTTGATGCAAACAAGTCACTACATTATTTAAACAAATTAGTTGTAAATAGTCAACAATGTCTTCTAATAGCCTTCTGTCATCGTAACTAAGACTGTTTTTACGTTTATATAAGTAATGAAGTAATTCTTTTTAAGTAGCAAGTTAACTGAAATAAGTGCTGCATAATTTGTTGCATTTTTTTATTTTTAATTTCTATTATTTTAACCAGATATTAAATTTGATCCATTTGCATTATTCCACTAACGATCTTATTTTTTTACAGGTTATGGTGCTCCTCCACCAGGTTATGGCCCTCCTCTTGAGCCAGGTTATGGCCCTCCCCAACCAGGCTATGGTCCACCTCCCCAACCAGGCTATGGTCCACCTCCCCAACCGGGCTATGGTCCTCCTCAACCAGGCTATGGTCCACCTCCTCAGCCAGGCTATGGTCCTTCCCAACCAGGCTATGGCCCTCCCCAACCAGGCTATGGTCCACCTCCTCAGCCAGGTTATGGTCCAACTCCACCACAGGGGACACCAGTAGCTCCAGGTTTGTAGAAATTGTCCTTTATGTTCCTAGTTTGTTCACATTTTCATCTTTGTGTATGTGTCCTTTTTTTAATACTAGATTTTTTATGTTGAAATTCTCAGTATTTAGTATTGAAGTTATTGCTAACATTTTTTGTTGAAATTTACAAACTCTACATTTCATTCAATTTTGCAAACTAATCAATGAAATTTGAATAAACTGATTTGTTTGGAAAAATACTTCATGTTTTAATAATTTTTTTAATTTTATAGGATAATATTTTTAAAACTTTTTTTCCTTTTTAACAGTGAAGAATAAATTCTTAGGATTTCTTACTCTTGAGCATGCAACATACAACTGGTCATGCGTAAATATTTCTTTCTGGAGCCAAATTCCAACTTTTTCAAGCATTTGGTCTTGTGATTTGTTTTTAGTTCTTGTAAATAGGGTGAATTGAAAAAATGTTATCTTGTATATAAAAATTTAAGATATATGCAAAAACCAATATTGCATTTTTATTAAATAAGTACTTATTTTAATCATTAAATTGTTTTTAAAATAGTGGCAGTATTTTGTATGTTAAATAATAAAGATTTTAATTTTTCCAAAAAAATGACGGGAAATTTATTGTACTAATCCACGTGCCCTAGTAAAATCAACTGTACTTTGTATTCCTTTAACCTGTTTCCACCTCTCATTTTTGGTTTCAATCAGTCAATGTATGGCTATTTTAGAGGATGTGACAGACTAACGGAAGTCCCAGAATTTTATATATAGAAAAAGGTGAATCAACTCCATTGTCAAAATATCAGAATGATCTTGTATTTTAGAAGAATGTGTAGTTTTTATTCTTTTCAGAGATTCTTGGAATGATTCTCCTCCATCTTGCATTTTTTACTTTGCGGTTCAAGAATACTCTGGTCAAAACTTGAAAATTACATTTATTAATGTTAACTCTTCGTTTTGTCTTTCACATTTAAATGGAATCTTGCATTTAATGTGTAAAAAAAAATGGTTATTCTGCTCTTGCTCCTTGGAACAAATCACTAAAAGTATTTTCCTTATTTGAATTGAAATTAGTGTCATGTGTTCATTCTGCATATTGTAATGGTTCATGACTAAACAGGCACTAAACTTATTAATACTGTTGAGTATTCTTTATCTGAAATTCCAAAATCCAAAAGTTTTTCAGGTACTGATATGACTTGCCACAAATGGAAAATTTCAGAAAGAACTGGAAAGGCTCCTAGGTAATGTGCAGCTGTTGTAAGTGACCCTTATCTTCCCTGGGTGGGGGTTTTCTAGCTCACCTACATTGGTGCAAGTTTTTTAGTGATTGTCACAGCAACACGAATTACTTACCAGGTATTTCGTGCTCACTAAAGATATTATTCAAAATATCAAAAAGTCCTGCATTTATATATGGTTTGTAAATAGTGATCATGCTTTTTGTACACATACAGAAAGTACAAAACATTACCTTTTTGTGAAATCTTAATTTCACCATTTAAAAATCTGTATGAGCACTACATGATTAGCGTCATTACCTGTATCTGTATGTACACAAAATTTATTAAATTTTATGTAAAACTACCTTCAGGGTATATATTATATAAATAAGGTTATATATATATATATATATATATATATATATATATATATATAAAAGGTTTTATATAAAGAAATATAGTCTTAAGGTGTGCTATATTTATGGGATAAAGTGCTCAATATCAGAGATAGGCGACAGTCTGTTTCATGCTATATGCAATCGTGGCCTGACGATTGCATATAGCATGAAACAGACTGTTACCTCTAAGTGTTGACTTCTATGTTCACTTTTATTTATTTGTTTATATATATATATATATATATATATATATATATATATATATATATAGCTGTGTTATGAAATGTTAAGGGATATCATTTTTATGCTTGGGTTCCATTCCCAAGCTGCCTCATTTTGTAGATGGTGTATACAAATTAAATTGCCTGTATTCCAAAATCTGAAAAAATGTGAAAAGCAAAGTACTCTCAGTCTCATGAAATTTGGATAAAGGATTCTCAACCTGTACTAGGAATATATCAGATCATACTTAATAAATAATCATTGTTGGAAATACAAACTCTATACTTATAATAATTTAATAAAATAATAATAAAATCAATTTGGTAGATGTTTTAATGTTTACTGTTGTTTTTATTACAATTTTTTTATTTTATTTTAAATATTGGATATAAAATGGGAAGAGAAAAAAAGAAGTCTAACAAATAATAATTTCTTTCATTGAGAAAGGATCTGACCACTTCTAGCAGAGTGTGGATTGCAACCTCCATCTTACTGCCTTCATAGCAAAGCATTAGGTGCTCAAGAGACATGAAAGAATGGTTTTTACATGAACATTGTTCAATTAAAAATCCTCATCCTTCCTCAAGAGTTCTTACTGGCTGCTAGGATGAAACAAGTTACACAGAATATTTTCACTTTGTAGTGACTGCATAGCTATGGAGCTCAATCAACCTCATTGTTCTAGATAGCCATTGATCCAACAAGAAGGTTCATCCACCTTATTGGTTTGAATCTGCATAGGAATGATTGCAAAATACTTTTCCTTCCCCAATTTATAGGCATGCTGGGATTTCTTCCTAGACAATAAGATATGCCACTTGTCGGTGTCATCTGACTTGGTCCTGGTCTGTCTTGTCTTAAAGTCTGAACATTACGTTAACTTATCCAAACTTACTCTTATGTGTCAACCCCAATTCTTAGTTTGTGAATTTTTTGCCTTATTACTGTTAATTCACCTTGCATATATTATTTTTTCCCTGTTCTTTTCTTTTTCATGTTATTGCTTATAATGAACTTTGTCAATTCTGTTTGTTGGACAGTTCTGTCATTTATTTACATTTAACCATGACCAGTGACTCTACACGACATTTGACAGATTTTGTTTTTAATCATACAAGGTGTCTAACCAAACTCTTCACCAGAAAAGTCTGGAACCACTTTAGTTACCAGTGACCTAATTATGTGATGGATAGTACTGACTTACATGGTACCAGTAGAGTGACCTGACATGTACTTAAACTAATGAGAAATAACAAACTTGCAAAGGCTAAAATGATTTTTTTTTAATTTCTGATATAAGACGTTATCATTAGTGCACAGAATTATTTAGATGGCTTATCTTGGTTGATGCTGGCATATGTCAGTTGACATCTCCAGTCTTCTTCAGGTATTTGGTAAGTGTTGGAATTTTGAACTAAACCCTTTATTTAATTCAATGGAATATATTCTTTTCACTTTACTGTCCATGATATCTTGTATTAATTTTTAACTATATTTTTCTTGTGATGCCAAGTCTGCTCATTCTACTGAATAACAGTATATATGAATTTCACTGCCTAAACCAGGAATTGAAGCTAAACTAAATATATTTAACCAACACTTATATTCAATACTGATCATAACAGGCACCTGAAGACTGGCCATGAGATGGCTATGGCAATAAAGACTGGCCATGAGATGGCTATGGCAATAAAGACTGGCCATGAGATGGCTATGGCAATGAAGACTGGCCATGAGATGGCTATGGCAATGAAGACTGGCCATAATTTGGTTATGGCAATGAAGACTGGCCATAATTTGGTTATGGCAATGAAGACTGGTCATAATTTGGCTATGGCAATGAAGACTGGTCATAATTTGGCTATGGCAATGAAGACTGGCCAGGAGATGGTTATAGTGACTAAACCAAGATGACAAAACTGGTTTAACAAATCGGTGTATAATAATGATTGTTGTCTTCTTCCCTCTGTAGCCAGTTTTTTGATAATTCAAAAGTTTTTCTTTTTAGTGTTAACACTAACATCTTGTCTATTCCATTAAAGGATTTTGAGACCAAAGATGTGAAAAACATGCACAGAGGTAATCAGTATTTAATTAATAAACAGTTATTTGATTTTATTTCAATGTTTATTTACATCTTCAGAAACATCAAGAATTTCTTTGTATTCTTACTAATGTATCATTTAATATTTGATTAAAGCATGAAATATATGCAAAAGATGTAAAATGAATGACTGTTTTTATTTCTTCTCTTATTAGGTCAATGGATGGAAAGACCAGAGGGGTGTGAGAGTTGTCCACCTGGCCTGGAATATTTGACTTTGATTGATCAGATGTTGGTCCAGCAACAAGTTGAACTGCTCGAAGGTAAATATTTCTAGTTTTTATGTATTATACTGGTTATGCTAATTGTGAAAATTAAAACTTGGTTAATATTTTATATGGGTCAAATAGCAGGGTAGACTAAAGACTTTAGCATTGGTTGGCATCCAGTGTAGGAGGAGAACAATTCTGAATTGAAAACTGGTTGGGTGTGGGGCTGGCAAATCCATTCCATAAAACTGACTTGCTATGAAAATCACAGTAGCAACACTGATTTGATGAGGTTGTAGCTGTATACTCAGGGGTGGGGGTGTTGTGGTAGTTATACAGCAAAATTATGCATTGAAAATATAGAAGAAAGGCGCTTTCAGGGGTTATGATTTAATGTGAATATTATTGATGGAATAAAGATATATGCATTATAAAGTATAAAATAGTTTTACATGTATAGTTTGCTTCTGCATACAAGTGTTGTCCCAAGAAAACAATTTAATGTTGGCCAGCATAAATGCATTTTTTTAATCTTTGAAAACTGGCTACCACCTGATGTTGCAACTTTATATTATCACTTATTTCAATCCTTGCATAACTCACTTAATGTGAAGAACTTTAATTCTCTGGAAGCCTGTAAACACTACATTGAACAGTTTATCATCTAGAAAGATGCTAAGTTTTGTGACGACAGAATATATGGTCTTTGAAATGCATTTAAAAAACATAGCAACACTACTTTGTTTTGATCAATGTGTTTGAACAAATTTTTAGTTGTATACTAAAATAAAACCTAGTTTTGCATATTTAAAATTTGGAACAGATTTTTAGTTTTACATTAAAATGAAACCTAGTTTGGCATATTTGAATTTTTTGAATCTTATAATTTCTTTTTTTTTTAATTAATTTATTTCTATTTTTTATTAATGCTATAAAAATGGACAGATTAAAATTGTATCTAACTAGTCAGTTATCATCTGATAACTACAGCAGATCTTCAAAAGAAAAACCTTTGATACATTCATTCCCTTTTTGGTTTTCTATACATGTTCTTATTTTGCATAATGTGAAATTTTTCTTATGGAAATTTTAATTGATCTCATATTGGCAAAATACTCACTGTTTTATTTCCAACATTTTTTCTTTTATTTTTTTCTTTGTTTCTTTTACAGCTTTTACTCAATTTGAAACACAAAATAAATACAAGATTGTCAACATTATGGGCCAGCAGATCTATTTTGCTGCTGAAGGTAAGATTTGAAATTTTATACACTGTAAAAAAAAAAAAGTATGTACTTTTTCGTGATAATATTAATTTCCTTTTTAATAAATTTGACAACTGGGGTGCTGTCAACAAATAATGTCTAGTGTGGAAGTCTGGACTTCCAGGCAACATGAAAAGGAGCCTCTGTCAAGCAACTATTACCTCTGTTCTATTGTATTTTGGCATAGTAAGCCCTCTCTTTTTTACAGTGAGGTTCACTTTTTACAAGGCCTGGGGGCCACTTGAGGTAGGTTACATTTGGAGGCCATTTGTGTGCATAGGTGGGGGAAGATAACAGTTGCCCTGAGCCTTGAGCAAGTTAAGATTGTAGTGATCGGGGAAACATCCTGTTGGGAATTGCTTCCACAGGGCAGTGGTTTGAAACATCAAAACTGGAAACAAGCTGGGATGGAATCGATATCTGCATGCTGAGTGACTTTGAATGTCACTTGGAGATATCATCTGACCAATAGATGATTGTATGGGAACATTCATCCAATATTAGAAAACATCAAAGAGCGTGGAGTCAGATTTGTAGGGCATTGATAGAGTGCTAAAGACAAAATTGTTAGTGAAGTTCTTTTGTGAGAGCCTACACGAGGAAGAACTAGCAAAGAATGACAAGCTAAGACCTATATCAAACAGATTGGTGACAACATAAACTGTAATCCCTCTGACCTACTGAATATAATGAACAATAGTATTAGATGGTGACAGTCATGTGAATCAGTGTAAACTGTGAGACTGGATGATGATTAATAAATTTGAGGTTATTGGAATGTTCTGGTCAAATGTATCCAATTTCTATTTAATTGGAATCTTCAAACAATGATCTGATAATGTCATTAGTGTTGCAGGTGTGTTGAAACCAAAGGATAATTTTTGAGTCACTTATTTTTACAGACTTTTAAAAAGATTTTATCTACACATTTTGGTATTCTCTAATTGTTGCATCCTTTCAAACAAACCAAATTGAAATTTACGTAACTTTAAATTAACTAGAATGAATACCTTAAAACTCAACATTATAACTCATTAATATCAACCATCTTATTTTTGAGTATATTTACATTGTATCTCCTAAATGAGATCTTTTAGTCCTCATCACTTCACTTGTCTTTTAGTTTATGTATCATTTGTTCAAATGATAGGAGGCTTATGGTCACATCGTGTTGAAACACCAGTTCCTACACAGTAACTGAAGTTAAGCAACATTGAGCCTGGTCAGTACCTAGATGGGTGACTGCTTGGAAATACTAGGTACTGTAAACTTTGATGTGTGGGTGGTGTAATCAATAATAGCTTGGAATTGTTAATTGGAAAGCCAAGTTCCAATTCCTGTTGGGTTCATTATATTCACTTACATGCAAATACTCTTGGGGAAAAGTATGAAACCATCTCTTCTCCCTCCCAGATATGGGTTAATTAATCAGATTTGTGTTACTAAACCATTATTATCACCAAAAAAATTTTGTACATTCTAAAAAAAATATTTTCTGGCTTTAAATAACTTGCAAAAGGTTCATAAGCCGTAGAAAACAAATCAATTAAAACTATCCTCAAAAAATTTTTACAATCTAAAATATTTTCTGGCTTGAAACAATTTATATTCTCTGGAATATAAATTCATAGAAACTACCCTGGCCACAAATTGGGGATCAATTTGTACATATAGAATTGATCTCCCACTTTTTACCCAGATTATAATTTCTTGTTTATCTAATTCTGATTAGGTATGAATCCATTTTTTTCTCCACCACTTAGCTGAGTAAGATCACTAAACCATTTTTATTTCCAATCTAAAATTTTCTGGCTTTAAATAACCTGCAAAAAGTTGCTAAGCCATAAAAACAAAACAATCAAATGATAGTATCTAACCCTCAGTTAGTACCATGGAATATTTGAACACTTCACTAAATATTTTTTTCTTAATATTCACCAAGTGGCAAATCAAACTTTCTTGATTAGTCAAATAGCTTTTTGAATATGTCTTAAGTAATTACAGTTCATTTCAGTTTTTAGTCACAATATTTCCTGTGAGAAAATTGTCCAGGAGTCACTACCATATTGGAAAATTTATACATTGTATTAATATTACATAGCAGTTCAGTACTCTATCTTTATTTCTGACAAAATCCTGCTGCTTTTAAAATTTTGTATCCATTATCCTTAAAACTTCCTTGTTACTCACATGTTCTATCCATGGTATTCTCAGCATCCTTCCATAGGACCACATCTCTGTTGCCTCAAATTTCCTTTTCATTTATGAGTAAATTGTCCAGCATTCACTGCCATATAGAAGGATTGATATTACATAGCAGTTGTTTACTCTTTTCTTTGTTTCTGTTGCTTCAAGTTTTCTCTTCATCTATTTGGAAATTGTCCAGGATTCACTGACATAGATGAGGATTGATATTACATCGCAGTTCTGCACTCTTTTCTTTGTTACTAATGAGATTTGTCTCTTTCTTACTATTTTGGTTAGTCTTTGGAAGGCATAAACTAACATTTTGAATAGAACAAATCTCTAAAAAGGTGTAAACTTTATAATATTTGATGCCTTCAAATATTTAAAGATAGTTCTGAAGATTAAATTATCAGACTATTTATCAAAAGGAAAAAGTTGACTGGTTCTATCCAAGAAAAGTAGGTTCAGCTGATAAGCAAGCAGTGAATTCTTAATAAGCAGGCCAAATCTCTTGCCAAACATAGAAACAAAGTAGCATTCTGATTTTATGCCTTTGTGTATTCAAATTCTAGACAAAGATTTAAAATTGGTTGCACTTGTTTTTTCAGGCCATTCTTTTTGGATAATGATATAAATATACAGAATTGTATATAAAAATTATTCAGATGAATATAGTGTTTATGCAAAAGATAAATTATTAACAGCATTTTCTTTTAAAAATTTGTCACAGATTTTTTTTCACTCTTTATGTTTGTCTATAAAAAGCAACAAAAATTGTTTTGATATTATTTTTTTTTCTGTTGTAAAAAAAAAAAAAATTTAACACTCCAAGTAGTTTTGGCACAAAGTATTGTATGAATCTGGTTGATGTATCAGTTTGTCATAATATTATGAATAAAAAGAATTTTGTTTGCTACAATTTATGATGTGCCTTTTCACTTACTGACATTGGTTATTTCATTTTCTTTGTCGAAATTCGGATGACATGATTAAAATAACTTATGTTAAAAAATATACACAAGTAATGAGAGATGATAATTATTGCTTTCTGACACTTTAGTTGGGTTCAGTTGTATAGAGTATCGAGGGCTTTTTAAACTAGTGTTGCAACACTTTAATAGAAGGTTACTTAATTATTAACCATTGTTTATTTACTAAATTTTTTTATTGAATTTTTTAATCTATTTCCTTTTTTAATCAATTTCTGACATTTTTATTTTATTTAATCTTTTTGATTTTTTGAACATTTTTTTTAATTTTTAAAAAATGAAATTTTAAAAATTTTTAATCATTTAAAAAAAATTAATTTTTTTTTAAATGATTAAAAATTTTAAAGATTAAATTTTTAAAATTAAATTTTTTAAATGATTAAAAATCTAAAGCAAAAATTTAATTTTTAAAAGAAATTTAAAAAATTTAAAATTTTTTTAATTTTTTTAGATTTGAAAATATTTTTAAATTTATCATTACAAAAATTGTTTTAATTTGAAAAAATGATCTGTTAAAAAAAAATCTTTTTATATATATTTTGAATTCTTGAATAATGTTGCCAGTACAAAAGTTTGGAAAGCTCTTATTGACTGCTAACTTGAAGAAGACAGAATGCAGTGAAAAAAGCCTAAGGTGTAAGCTATGTATTGGAGGTCAAATTAAAATCAAGCAAATACAGAAAATTTAACTATCTGAATAGTGCAGTAATAGAAGATGGAAAATGTGACATGTATGTATAGGAATAGTGAAAGTTACCTTCCAAAAACTAAGCAAAGTATTATTTACCATTTATAAAAGCAAAAGATGCTTTACAAACAGCAAAAATGATATGTGCCGTTTATTGAGATAGTGTCATAGATGAAAGTAATGTTCATAAGTGATTTGTTAGGTTCAGAAGTGGAAATTTTTGAACTGAAATGTACTAGCAGGCCTATGGTCATTGATGATGATCAAATTGAAATGCTGATTAAAAAAAAATAAATAAATTTCTCATTCTATGATGCTAACCAATATGCTATCTGCCATATATATATATATATATATATATATATATATATATATATATATAATATAACCAGTGAAACTTAAGCACAAAAATAAAAATACCAGAAATTTGTTTTTCCTAATATCTCATTCTCTGATAAAGCTTTAATAAAAGCAAAACATGTTAGATTTATAAATGTTTACTATTTATATGTAGTGGAACCTTGCCATATGAACAAAAATTTGTCAGAAAATTTGTTTCAACTTACAAAATTAAGAATGGGCTTCCTGTCACTGCATTTTAAACTAGATATTTGATATAAATGTACTGTAAATACTTTTTAATCTTATCTAAATATAGTATAATTTTATATTTATATGTTTTATATATTATATTATTATATATTTTATATATAATAATATAATACTGTAGTATTATACAGCATTACAATAAATTTTTGTTCTGTATTTTTATACTGTACAAAATATTTGCAGATATATTTTATACAATATTTGTTGTTCTTATATTTTTATGTTTTATATACAGTGTACATTATTATCATATATTTTATATACAGTACTGTATTATATTATTATACAGTACATATTTCTATACAGTTCCATTACGCTAGATGTAAGGAGATGCTACGAGCATTGCATCAGCCTACTCAGTCCTCTTTGTTACCTCGTAGAATAAACATTTGTAGTGTATGCATATTTGTGATTATATTAGTGTAGGTGTAAAAAAAAAAATTAATAATGTGCAAAAATTTATGTACTGTACATGTACATTACTGTACAGTAATGTAAACTTTATTAAAGTTTATTGAATTAAAAGTAGGTAAAATGTGGCAATGCTGAGTTCATTTTGTTTAATCTCTATGTAATGTAAAGTGTGTTTTAGTCTAATATACAGTGTATAATCATTGAATTTTAAATTGATATCAATACAGCAGTAGAAAAATGTAAAATAAATTATAAAATTTAATTAGAGTAGAATAAAATATATAAAATGCAGGTAGAGCACGTAAACTATACAGTAAAATAAACTATGCATCCAGTTCAGGTTGATTTGTATGGTACAGTTCATCAGTGCACTTTGTTCCTTTACATTTTTATAGTTACTGTACTGTACAGTTTAATGTGACTGTACATGTACAATAAATTTTAGTGGGTAATTTTTTGGTAATTTTTGTAGCCCACAATGTCACCCAAGAAGCTGGTTGCTAATAGAAAGAGGGGGAAAAATATCTGTAGAAATGAAGGAGATCATTCAGAAGCGCAAAGAAGGTACCCATGTTTCTGACCTTGCCAATCTATATGGATGTTCAGCATCAACAATTTGCACTATCCTAAAGAACAAGATAGAAATAAAAAAGCTTGATGTAGCCAAGGAAGTTAGCATAATTATGAAGCATTGTTCAAAAGCCCTAGAAGATGTTGAGAAGCTGTTGTTGGTGTGGATGAATGAGAGGCAGCTATGGGGTAATTCTGTGTCTGAAGATATTACATGTGTAAAGGCAAGGGCACTGAATGTGGATCTTATCAAAAAAAAAAAAATACCAGGCACGTCTTCTGAAGATTAAAATGCATTTAAGGCATACCACAGTGTAGTGAGATATGCAGAGTCTGCGAGCTCTGATAAATCTGGCTTGTTTCAGAGGTGTTAACTGAAAGTACAAATCTGACCCCAAGAGAATTTTGGTAGGATCACTTCAATATCCTAAATTACTTAAATCTTATTGATAATGCCTGGGAAGAAGTTACAGTGATATATTTATTTACATTATTTGCATATAATCTTTAAAAAAGTACTTTAATTTTGCATAAAATACGATTTTTATACCAATATTTTTGGGCTTGGAACAAATGAATTTAATTTCTATTATTTTAAATGGGGAAAATTGTTTAGACATATAAAATTTCCAGTTATGAATCCGCTCCTGGAACAGATTAAATTCGTAGATTGAGGTTCCACATATATATATATATATGCATGTTATTATTTACTGAGCATAGTTTGGTACAATGCAACAAGTATGGTGTTCTCAGTGAGGATTGGACTCACTACACAGTCATAATGATCAGCTAACCTAGCTTGTTAACCATCACCCAAACTTGAGGTGCTCATGTATTATGGCAAAATTGCCATATATAAATGATGTTCATATTAGGAAATAAAATATTCTGGATGTTTTACTTTTGTTAATTCAATTCTTGTAAAACTGAAGACATTTCTGTTCATAAAAACCAAAAGATTTTATGCCTTGTAGCAAAAGTTAAAATTTTTTTTCAGTCTGTAAACAAATTAGAGAAAATATTTATGTAAAAGTATTTTGCTTCTCCTTAGTCTTCTAGTGTTTTGGAGATTGATGGAGTATATTACTAATGTAGTAACTAATCAAGCATTAATTTGTACCTATAAAAAGAATACCCGCTCGGCCCGGTGGCTAGGATCAAAGTGTAGTATCTGCGCTTTGTGAGCTGTCGGGTGTCTGTCAAACTCTCCGCTTGCAGAGAGGAACCGGATGAAGCTCCGCCGAAGGGTGGGGTTTCGTTCGGGAGGTTGATGTGAACTAGCCGCTTTGGACGGGTTTAGATGGGTTTATTTTTGGCTGGGCCTACGGGCTCAGACATACCCACATTAAAAAGGCCTTGTGCCACATTCGATCCCTGTGGGTGGATTGATAAATACCATCAAGCATTAATTTTGATATATATATATATATATATATACATATATATATATATTTGTGCCATTTTCTAACACAGTGGTTCCTACACCATTTTTCTTTGGGCTGCATTTTCAGAATGAAAATTTGCTTGTGCCTCACCAAATGTTATGTGATAAAAAGTATAAAAATAAATAGAGAGGGTTAAAGAGAGATAACTGCAGATTTGAAGTCAGAACATTATCATTGATAACTCTCTCCTCCAATTTGCAGAGCCTGGTTACTATATTCTTAATACTTGATATAATGCAAAAATATCACAATGATAAAATTGGTCAATAATTATTTATAACTATACTGGGACTCATGCATGCAATTACAAGTAATACATAATAATATTTTAAATTTTGAAATCATATTTATTTTTAGCATATGAAATTTTGAAACTGTTTCTAAATCTTTGTCGTTCAATCATTCCACCTCACCTGCTATCCTCTTCCACAGCACCTATGAGGTGCATGCGTCGTTTGGGAACTATTGTTCTAACGCAATCTGATTATTCATCATATAAACTTTTTTTTATTTCAGAGTCAGATGCTTGTATGCGCCAATGTTGTGGAAATTCTCGTGGTTTTATAATTCATATCACTGACAACATAGGCAGGGTAAGTTTTTAAATTCAGCCTTTAAACAATGACTCTGTGAAGTTCTTCAGAATTTGATATTATTGTAAGAAATGTGTTTTTGTTTTTGTATTAATGAATAATGAACTTCCTGAATTGTTAAACAATAATTGGTTTAAGCTTTTAATTTTTGTTTTTTATCTATAAATAAATGATTTCAGGATATAAAACACGAAAAAGATCATTTCTTTAAAGATTTCTTCAAATTTGGTTACCCAAATAAGTCTTTTCTCCTCCTCTTTCTCTACACTTCCTCTTTTTTCTTTCTCTTTTTCCCTCTCTTTTCTCTTTTCCTCTCTTTTCTCTTTTCCTCTCTTTTCTCTTTTCCTCTCTTCTCTCTTTTCCTCTCTTCTCTCTTTTTTTCTCTCTTTTATTTCTATCTCACTTTCTTCTTTTCTCTTTTATTTCTATCTCACTTTCTTCTTTTCTCTTTTATTTCTATCTCACTTTCTTCTTTTCTCTTTTATTTCTATCTCACTTTCTTCTTTTCTCTTTTATTTCTATCTCACTTTCTTCTTTTCTCTTTTTTCTATCTTTTCTTCTCTCTTTTATTTCTTTTCTTTTTTTTTTCTTTTATTTCACTTCACTTTCTTTTTTCTTTTATTTCTATCTCACTTTCTTCTTTTCTCTTTTATTTCTATCTCACTTTCTTCTTTTCTTTTTTTTTCTCTTTTATTTCTATCTCTCACTTTCTTTCTTCTTTTCTCCCTCTTTTCTTTTCTCCCTGTTTTGTTTTTTCTTTCATTTTTTTCCTGTCTTCTTTTTTCATTAAATATCATTGGGAACAGTTCATTTTTTTCCCACTTCATTCAGAAAGATCATTCTCAAGTGATCACAACAGCTATCATGTCAACATTTATAAAAAAAAAAAAGTTCTCAAATTAAATATGGATGGACATAAAAGCAATATTGCTTTTATGTCCATTGTCTTTTCATGTTGAATTGAATATGGTCTATGTTAATTATGTTTTATGAATATGTCCTGAAGATGGTCTATTAGACCAAAACATCAGACGTTGACATTAAACATTAAAACAGCATAATCGCATATTAGGATTTTGTTTGTTTTTTCCGTATATTTTTTTCATACTGTCGGATCTATATCCATATATTTGCTTATATATATATATATATATATATATATATATATATATATATATATATATAGTTGATGTATTTTTTCTGTTGATCCCTTTTTAGGTAAAATTGATTTCATTTTATTACATTTTTTTTGTTTAGTTTTCATTCCTTTTTTTCCCAATCAAATGAGGTTTGTACAATTTTTTCCCTCGATTGCATGTGGCTAAAGAGAATTTTGTCAGTTAAATCATTAAATTCCAGTTCCTTTTTTTTTCCACAGAAATTCTGGTATCTTTAACTTTTGAAAGCAATTCACTTGTAAATATTTTTTGCAGTGTTATTCTTTCTGAACATTTCTGTCTGCCTCTGCTTTTCAATTTTAGGTCAAACATTGAACTTTTTTAAGAGTATTTTTTCATGTTTCATGCCACACAGAATTCAGTGTCATCAAAATTAGAAAAGTTATCTTTTATAATTTGATGATTTCCCTATTTTGGCTGCTTGCTATAGCCTTTATATTGCATCTGAATAATGCTTAACATTGCTGTTAATATTTTAATTTGAAAAGGTTTTTAAAAAAGTATATTTTTGCAATACATTTGATAACTGAAGGCTTAAAACAGTCTTGAGAGATCTTGGCTTCAGATTCAACCTTATGGAAATGTGCTACACTTTGGACAAGTTTTTCTATGCCTGATGTTTGCTATCAGCCTTCTTACCTTTTGATGAAATTTATGAATGAAATAAACCTGTGTATATTTTGCAGGGTATGATCATATAAATTTTTATAGCTGCTGGCTGACTTTCCTTTAAGCTTATTGCGCAGACATTTTTTAAAATAAAACACTGTTTTATCACTCCTACTCTTCTGAAATTTACATAACCTTTTTAAACTTCTGCAGAGACCTGAATTATCACTTTTTTTAAAGTAACAACACTGAAAGGTTGTTTTAAATTGATACTCAGACGTCTCTAACTATTGCTTCTCTCGTTTTTGCCTGTTATCATACTTAATATCTACTCCCTTCACAGTGTATTTTTAAAGGATGCAATTTAGTCTGTTAACTTGAAATCCTCTGCAGTCTACTTGTTTGAATCAAAATTTAATGGTAATTTTTAAAATGAATACTAATTTAATGGTTCTTAGAACTAATAATTTAACTTTTTTTTGTCTCCACTTTTCTGTTCTCATTACATTTTAGTCTTTCCATTTATCAAAAGCAAAAAATATTAAAGTCAGCATTTACACAAAATAATAATGTCATTAATTACATCAGGATGTGCAGGTAGTATGATGTTATCAGCATGGAAAGGGGAATCTGTGAACAGAGTTCAAATTCTGGGCTAGTTGTGTTCACTTCACAAATGCCATTGGGAAAAGCATAAATCTGTTCACCACTTAGCTATGGCTTAAGTAGCAGAGTATGTCTTAGGTAGCAACCAGCCTAAGAGAAAGAAAACCCTGAATTCCAAAACTGTATAGAAGCCAATGTGTAAACCATTGCACAGTATTCTCAAGAATGCATGGCACTTCACAAAAATAAAGAAAACATCTGTGGAGTGTCATCATTGCCTATGGCCTGAAGGGACACAATAATAAAAAAACACAAAAAAGATCTTACATTAATTTTCACTATTAAATTTAGAGACTTTCATTTTTGGGGTTGCCTAGGTATCTACTTTGATGTATTTCTGTTGTTGTTATTTATATGGGCATGTGGCCAAGTGGTTAGAACCATCACTTTCTGACCATGAAACCCAGGTTCAAATCTTACCAGTTGTCAGGAAGGTGACTTCTTGATGTTATGGGTTTGGAGAAAGTGATCCCAGCATGAGGCACCTTTGGAAAGTGCCTGAAAACCATACCACTGGTTGGCACAAGCCTTCTCAGTGAAATTGGGTAGATGGAACACTTGGTGGTTGTGCTAGCATGAAGTCACGAGGGCTTGAGTGTGCTGGTTTTGTTCAGACTGTTGATCATGCTAGATAATGTGCTGTCCCCCAGAAACTTTAATTAAGATCCACTCGGCATAGTTGCAGTATAACTCATAGGCGGGCTCTGTAGGTGTTGAACAAACACAAAAATATGTCTGAGCCTGTGTCTGCAATGGAAATTAGCGAGCTGTCATTGTATATTGTATTAAATTTTGCATGTAAATTATCTTTTGTTAATATAAAATAATAATAAATTTGTATGAAAGACTTTTTGTTAAGTTTTTTTTTTTTTTTTTTTTTTTTCAAATTGACAAATTTCTTTTTTCTTTCTTTCTTCAGGAAGTGATGAGAGTAATTCGAGAATTCAAATGTTGTGTTGGTTGCAGTTGGTGTGCTTGCTGTGAGGCTTGTGCTCTGACGGTCACCGTGGAAGCTCCTGTCGGAACTGTCGTTGGAAAAGTCAAACAAACGTTAGTATTATATTTACTCCATCTCTCCACTGAGACATGACACAAGATTGGGTTTACTGTGGGGAAACTGAGCACATACACCTGGGCCAGGGCCCCAAATTGCCCAGCTCTCCACAACTGTTAGTTGCACGGGCATTAGTATAACTACTGATCCCTGCCACTCTCTAGTGCAATGAGAGAGGTATGGCCATGGACATTCATTCCCCAGGTCCAGGCACCTCTCAGTATTTTGTTTTCCTCAGCTGTGTTTCTGTCCATGAGAGATGATAAACCCTACCTGGCTTGTCCCAGATAAGTACTTATTAAAAGTGTTGGTATTTAATAAACATTAATGTTTATTAAAAGCTAATGTCTTTTTACCTCTTCTACCATCCCACTCATGTGTACTTCCATTACTTTACATTATTTACATTGTTTGGACTGTTGTCATCTTTATTGCCATATTCACGACGTTTCGGCTGTTGTATGCTCCGGCCTTCTTCAGGTTATTGGAATTTTGAATTGAACCCATTATGAATACAATGAAAACAATATGGGAACTGGTAATACAGTGTGCTAGAGAAAATCAATAACAACAACAAAAAAAAAGAAAAAAAGGAATTAAGTTTATAATTCCCCAAAATACTTACACTGATGTTCTCAAAGACACATGGCCCAGTGGATAAAAGTGTGGATCCAGGGGGTGTGAATTCAATACCTGGCTACTTCAGTGGTGGACAAAAACTTGGAGAGTTGAATTAAAGGGAGATAACTGAGACATCAAGAAGCGGCATGGAACTAGAATAATCTACTCCAGTGGACAAAAAGGGTTTAGTTCAAAATTCCAATCACTTGAAGAAGGCCGGAGCATACAACAACAGAAACATCATGAATATAGCAATAAAGATGAGGACAACAGTAAATGTGCATGATTTCAGTGTAGCATTAAATATTTACATAATTTTTATTTTTAAAACCTTTCTCTATGTTTCAGTGTATTCTTTAGTGTAGGTACTGCCATCAATTATGTATGCATTAAGGTTTAAAATGAATTCTTAAAAATGAAAAGGCTTTCCTGAAGCTTTCAATTTAGTGTTAAATGAAAGCTAAAGGATTAAATTTACTATACCCGCTAAGCAAAATACTTTGTATTTCACACAGAAATTATATTGATTGGAATAAACTTGCATTTTTTTTTTTTTTTTTTTTTCAGTAAAATCAATAATGTTAGCTATTTTTTTTAGACATTTATAAACAAAACATAATTTTCCATTTTAAAAATCTTGTAAAATTAAAATATATTTTTCTGAAATGTTATTTGAGAAAAATTAGCAAATTTAAAGTTAATCAGATTTGAAACAAATATTGCTGACTTATAGCATAAAATGTTTTATACAAGCATTTTCTAACTACATGGTTTTGTTTTACTGATGTGCAAATTGATTTATTGATGGTTGATTGACTGCTGAATGTGTTCAAATTTAATTATGGTGTAGCAGACAATAAATTTCATTAGGGTTTTTTTTTCCGTAAGGGGGAACAACCCTTAAAACATGTGACCTTTTAAGAATAGGTTTATCAGTTTGTACATCCATACTTCAGAAATTCTTCATCTATATACATATATAAAAACAAATTGAAATTCTTTTAAAAATAGTTGGAGATCTTTAGATTGTAATAAGCTTTAAAATATATGATTAGTAAATATAGTTTTCCCTAAAAATTATCTTATTGAAATTGAACTTTAAAAGATTCAAAAACTTTATAAATTATTCAATTTTAAATTGTAAAAAATGAAAACAGACCATGTAAAAATTTGTTTTTCATTGAAAATTTTTTTTTTTCAGACCATATTGTCTTTAATATATATTATTCATAAAAGCAATTAAAAGCATCTCTAATTAAATAATGTCTTAATCTTATTGCAATTTTTGTTTTTGATTCAGAACAAATTTTTGGTAAGACTAGGTTCGATTTTGAAAAAACAAGCAATTGGTGATTTAAATTCTTTAAAAAATTATGCTTTAACTAATATAGTCTTTTAAAATTATCTTGAATTTCTCATTCACAAATGAATGAAATTAGTTTTTAAATTTTTTATTAAAAAATCTTGGTAAAAATATATATTTTACATGTGTTTCTTCTTAGTTAATTTTATGAAAGCATGAGTCCTGAAAATTTCATTAAAATCCGACGATTATTTGATTTTTGCAAAAATTTCAAAATTAATGTATCTGTCACCATGAAAATTTGCTATGCTAAAAGTTAGTACAATTGCTGACACAACAAAAACAAGTTTTTTAATCAAATCTTCAAATGTTTTAAGAAGGAGAAAAAAATTTAAATAATCAAAAATACTTTGACCCTTCCTCTTAATAATAACATAACGATTTTGACAATAAAACTATATTTAATTACGTTTGGAGCATGTTTTCATCATGGTGGTACCTACTTTAGTATTTATCTATACCTGTTATACATAAATACTAAAGTAGGTACTTTCGCAAGATTGCTAAAAAATCAGCATACTGTGATGGAAAAGAGATATTGAATATTTTTTTACTGTGCAAAAGTTAATGTCGTAGAATTCTCTCCCTTTGCTGCTCTAGGCATATTTTGTCACCTCAAGAGGGTTGCTATATAAAGACTTGTCAACTATTATTTCCACTATTTTAAGCTGGAAATATACTACTACTGCTTTGGAACGAGGCTAAACTTTCATTTTCCGATACCATTTTGAATTCTTCTCCTTCACTCTACATGAGGTGTAATGTTGATTAAACCCATGTTAATTTTGTCACAACTTTTGTAAACAAAAATGACTGCATCAACAGCTAATGAAACCTTTATTCAGGAGTTTTTCTTTGATTGGGACTCTGATGATGATTTTGGTGGCTTTACTCAAGTGGATATTGATGGTGAAGTGTTTGGGGATAAGATATAATAACGATGCTAGTGATGGGGAGTAAAGTTATGATGACCACTAGGTGCCGAGTGGCTACTATTATCCATGGCTGACTAATTTTATGGAAACTACTGGTCCCATGGATATATCTGATAGTCTTTCTGAAGGTGAATTATTTTGTCTATAAAATATAAAATAGCTGACATTATCGATTTTACTGAAAAAAAAAAAAATGCAAGTTTATTCCAATCAATATAATTTCTGTGTGAAATACAAAGTATTTTGCTTAGCGGGTATAGTAAATTTAATCCTTTAGCTTTCATTTAACACTAAATTGAAAGCTTCAGGAAAGCCTTTTCATTTTTAAGAATTTTTTTTAAAATGATGACATAATAACTTTATTTGTCAATGAAACAAATAAATATGCTAGACAGGCGAAGGAAAAAGCAAACAAATGTTGGTGTCTACTCATATGTAAACATGAGGAAGGGATATCACTTTTGATGAAATGAAAGCCTTCTTAGCCACTTTGCTTTTTATTACACCCTAGAAATCCACAAGTTAAAATGTTAAATTGTTAATGTATTCATTTTTATTTCGTGTTTTATTTTTTTTTTGTTTTCAATGTCAAAAAATACATGCAAAAATGCAATGCATTATATCAAAATATTACTCATCCATTCTTTCATTAGTATACAAAAAATAAAATCTATACACACAGTACAAAGAAGGTTATAACAATTTTAAAACAGTAGGCCAGTGGTTTCCAACATGGTGGTGGTGGTGGTGGGGCATGGTAATATTTTGGTGGGGCAAGCATAGGATGTGCACCCTTTGGCTTACTATACCAGTAGAATAAGGGGGCAATTTGAGAATGAGTTATTAACAGTGAATTGTTTTCTAGCGAGCTCAAATTTCATTTTGCATTATTTCATAATTAAAATGATCAAAGTATATTACAGAATAAACTTTCATTCAAATATTTTATATTTCTGCCTTTCAGTTCTCTATTATATGTCTTGAAACTATATATATTTAACTGTCTTTGATTTTTAAATTTTTCTCTTTCATAGACACCATGGTCTTTGGAGGCTTGTTTAGAGACCAAGTTAATGGCCTTTTAAGCTTCCTTCACGTAAATTGCAGTAAAATTTTGAATATGTAAGAATTAAATATTACAGGGGGGCACCAGAATGTTAGAAAAATCAAAGTGGGGCATGGCCCCAAATAGTGTGGAACCATTGTAGCAGGTGCTCATGTTTTTGCGCCATAAAAAAAAATGCAGTGGCAGGGGAAACAATTCTAAAAACAGTTTGAGTAAAGATTTTTTTTAATACTTCAATTCAAGGGGAATAACTCATATTAGTTTATTATGTTCTGTTTTAATCTTGCGATAAATCATTTAGAAATATAATTTTCTATTTTTAAAGTTTTTTTAAAAAATATTTTTTCTTGTGTTGTTGTAAAATGAAATCTAAACACTTAATAATCACTAATATTAAAATATTTCTATTAATGTTCAAACTTTTCTTCAGAAATCCCATCTTAACCTTAGTCTGACTTTTTCCTTATCAGCTCTGAATTATTGGTTATACTTTTGATAACTGGTTGTTAAATCCATTGTCATTTAATAGCAAAAAATTCTCTAATAAGAAAATGCTTATAAATGTAATATAGTGATTGAAATGAAGTATATATTCTTTATAATCACTTGTTTACCTGCTGATGCATGTGTATAATTAATTACAGTGGGAAACTAATATATATATATATATATATATATATATATATATATATATATATATATAATATGCATTACACTGTAATATATATGCGTTAGTTGCCCACCATAATGAGACTGACCACAGTTTTGGCATAAAAAATGTTACTCTGAGAAAACAATTTACTACAACGTGAATGTCTAGAGACTACCTTGATTGCAAGGTCATCTACAGTAAATATGCGGCCTGTTTCTAACAACATTTCACCTTTCCTGTCAGATTTTCTATTATTGTAGTATAGGGTACCTACTAACAAAAGTGGTAAAAAAAGAATAAATGATTTTGGTTAGATATATAAACAAATAAAATTCTAAAATCCCCCAGCACCCCTCATTCATGCACATGTGTAGTTGTACCAACATAACAAATTTAGTCTGAAGTCCTGAAGGATGAAATGCATCACAAGCAAACTTTTTCCACTATATTGTTCTTCATACATAAAAAAATATAAATTATCTCATATATATCTCTCAAAACCAATGTAGCTAGAATTTTCCTGAATTTAATTCACATTTTGGTCATTCTCCAACACTAAAAAAATTTTCAACAAAAATAATATTAAGGTAAGCTATAGTTCTACAAAAAACATAGATAATTATATATCACAACATGACAATAATGTATTAGGCAAACACATAAACAAAGCGATTTAAAAAGAAGAAAAAGCAAGCCATAAGAATCCAACCATAAGTTGGGATATAATCATGAAAGCCAAGAGAAGCTTATATTAAAACACATAAATAAACCTAACTTGCTGAACATGAGAACAGAATTGATGTCTGTATGAATCCATAAGACCAAGCACCTGCTCAAACATATTAACCCCGATTAAAGGAGATTAGATTTTATGAATATTAATATAATATACAACAACTGTTAATATTCTTAGAACCCATCACTAATAACTTTTCTTATATATCTATGCACATATATAATCTCATATTAATTTATAATGTCTCTCTCTCTCTATCTCTCATATATATATATATATATATATATAAATTCCACCTATGTAAGTATAACTTGTATGAAGTATGGGAAGCCGTTGGTATAAATCAATGACTTCTGTTACCAATTATAGACATTTAAGGATATCCTTAAATGTCTATAATTGGTAACAGAAGCCATTGGTTTATACCATACTTCATACTTCTCCAATTCACTCTTGTGTGGTCATGTGTGACGTCATGAGATGCTGTGCGATTTTCACTTCTAGCGTCTTGTATGCACGTGTTTATCGTTGCTTAGAAATCATCTATGTAAACAATGACAGACTATCATCACTGTCTTGTCCATATATTGCTTAATATGTTGTAATTGACATCTTTGATAATGGCTTATGTAAGCCGAAATCTTAGATTGTATTAAAAAAAAATATGGATCAATATTGTGAATTTCTTTCTTCGTTCAACGATAATGTTATTAAACTTAGACGTTATGAAAAGAATTTGCATAAAATAAATAGACAACACTTGTCTATATTATTTAATGAAACGTGTATGAATATATATATATATATATATATATATATATATATATATATGTGCAGAAAATTTCATAACTGAATCAAGTAAGCTGTCAGATCCTCATATGTTGAAACCGCCAGGAGAGTTCATTATTATTATTATTATATGCACAGTACTTAGTGGAAAGTGCTCAATATCTGTGATAGAGCTAACATATTCACTTGAGTATCTGTCTGTATTTCTGAGATGAAGTATTATGTACACTATTTATATTATTTGGACTATTGTCCGAATCTTTGTCACCATATTTATTACAACGTTTCAGCCTTCTTCAGGTGGTTTGAAAGTTGAACTGAACCCTTTATTTTGCTCACTGGGGTAGACTGTTCTAGTTCCATGTGCCATGGATGTCAGTTATCAGTTATCTCCTGTTAATTCTCCTCTTCAAGTTCTCCACTGCCTTAACCGGGTATTGAACTCACACTCTTTGGGTCCTGTCACTAGATCTAACTAACACCTTTATCCACTGTGCCATGTTTCCTTGAGGACACATGGCACAGTGGATAAAGGCGTTAGTTAGATCAGTGTTTGTCTGATGATTGCAAAAGCATGAAACCCAGGGTTACAAACTAATATCCATAGAACTGAAAAAAAAATGTGTGTGTATAAATAATGAAGCGGGTGCTAAAAAAAGTTCTACCTCTGGCTAAAAGGGGTTAAAAAATATTTTTGTCTTTTTATATAATATATATATAATATATATATATATATATATATATATATATATATATATATATATAGATTAAATATCTATGTATGCTCCTTATATTATATAAAAAGTGATGACTTTAATTTTTTGGATGATTTTTATTTAGTTACCATATGGGAGCACAAAGTTTAGGGGAAATTATTTTGTGATTTCTCCCAAATTCTTTATTATGCTCCCCCCCCCCCAATATATATGTACAATGAATATCTTAGTTGCCACTTTATATATAATATGTGGGTAGTGTAATGGATAATGGTTTGAAATGAGAAATCAGAGCTGAGTTTGAATTCCAATTGAGTTCATTACATTCACTTATGTGCAAATCAATCAGTCAGTTATGTGCCATGCGTGATACATGCATAGGCGATCATGTATCTTTAGATACATGACTGATGAGGCAGATTTTTTTTTTCCTGCAGTAGGTTACCCTTTCTTTCTGCGGTAGACCAGTTGCCATCCAAGGCTTTAGAACCCAGTCTATCCTGCTATTTACCTATAGCTGGGGAGAGAAGAGGATTCATACCTTTTCCAATGGTATTAACACATAAGTGAATGTAATGGATTCGATTGGAATTCAAACACAGCTCCAAATACCCTTACCCTCTCAGCTAAGGGTTAAATGACAGGACAGACTGGGCTCTTTAGTCTTGATTGGCAACCAATCTAGGAGAAAAACAATTCTTAACCTGAGAAGGTGTCTTTTGGAGGTTTTGTGTCCAACTATTTACACCAGTTCTCTGCACAAACTTTCATCATTATAATCAAATCATGTATGCAGATATTCCAGCTGTTCAGTTCAGAACTGTTTAACCCTCATATATTAAAGATGACAGTCCTTCATATGTATATAAAATTACTAAAATTCATAACCATTATATAATGATACTGTAATATGTTCTTGTGAAGGAATTTAAAAACTTTTGATCTCTTAAAATCTGTTGAGCTACAGGTGAAACAACTTGTAAAAAAATATTCCATCTTCTCAAGAACGAATTGCTAGCTCCACTGCTAGGAAAGTTGCTTCACTGTGTTTTGCTAGACAGTTTTTCTTGTCAACATCTGTCTTATACATTTATAAGTCTACCATTCATCCATGCATTGATTATTGTTGCTACATTGGGACTGATGTTTCTGCTATGTATTTAGAGATTCTTGATAAAGACCAAAGAAGAATCTGCAATATTATTGGTCCTGACCTGGCATCTCGGCTTCAGTCACTTTCCTACCGCCGTAACGTAGCTTCTCTGTGCCTCTTTTATATGATGGTTATTGAGTGAGATTGTAAGGGAAAGGTGCTCCTGTTATATATTTAGTGATTCTTGATAAAAATCCAAAGAATAATCAGCAATATTATTGGTCCTGACCTCTCGGCATCTCGGCTTTCTATATGATGGTTGTTGAGGAGATTGAAGGAAAGGTGCACTTTCCCACCGCTGGCAATCGCTAGCTTTCCCTTTGCCTTTTCTATAAATATTATCATAGTAATCATTCTGATGAGATTTTCTCTTTGGTACCTCAAATTTAAGTGCAGTACTAGGTTGGCAGCTAGGTCTTGTTATTTTACAGTTGAAATGGCTTGATGTAACTGTAAGTTCTCTATGCTAACAGTTTCTTCTCTCACACATCTCTCTTCTGGCTTCCTGATTTCCAGTCAACTTTGACCTTCAAAAATTAAATGCAATATCAATTATCTTCTGTCTTCTTAATTCCTCTTCCTTTGTTTTTTTTAATTTTTTTTTTCTTTCACACTCATTAACTCCTTGCATCTTAGTAGCTTTATTGCCTTGCTTGGTTAAAAAATAATTAAAAAGTTAATGGTGTTTCTTATTTTTATTTTACAGGTGTAGCTTTTTAGAACCATCTTATGACATCACAACTCCTGATGATGAAGTTATCCTCAAAATTCAGGGACCCCTTTGTATATGGCAAGGGCCCTGCTGTGTTGGTGACCAAAAATTCAAGGTAAGCCCCACCCTGCTTTTTAAATTTGTTCTACTGATATAGATTTTGAAGCTATTCAATATTTGTACAGTGTATGTGAAAAAACTCCTTTTCATTTTAAAGTAAAATTTTTAAATATCCACTTAGCATGAAGGATGGATATTTCAAAATTCAATGAAGAGCATTGCTGAAAAAAAAACTCAAAATGAAAAGCCTTACCTTAGATTAAATAGTTTCATTTCAGATATTTATTGCATTTTTGCTTTGTTTTTTGGCACTGTTTTTACAAATCATTGATTGTGGGTAAGTGAATGACAAAATGCCAAACTCCTAAGTGATGTGTTTTGCCACCAGAAGAAAATCTTTTAGACTAATAATGATTTACAGTCCCAAACACACATCTACACACACAGAGGTGGAAAATACCAGAAATGGTAGTTAACATTTTGCTTCAAAAACATAAACGATACATGGATATTCAGCTTTAAATTTGCATGTTTGATGTCTAGTGTGTGTCTAAATGTTTCACAACTGATCTCCTTCAACTTTTAATCACTTTTGTTTTATTTTTATTACTATTGTATTTAATTAAACCACATTATAACAGCTGTATTCCTGTTCTTTTATTGTTTTCACTTTTTTATAATGTTTTTTTTCTGGCAATCTTGGGCCTTTGTGCCTGGAAAAAAACAAAAAACAAACCACAAACCAGAGTGTCAAAAGGATATTTTTTTTTCCTGGACACTGCCATTATTTTAACTATCCTTCAGAAATGTTTATTGTTTTAAAAAGTGATTAAAATTTTAATAAAATCTAAACATAAGATGAAAGTGAATTCATACATTTTTTTTTGTTCTTGAGAATTTACAACAAAAATATTGAACATTACTTATTAGATTATTTATTTACAAGAATAATTTTATATTTACAACATTCTAAAAATTAATATAATTTTATTAAAACTAATGCAATGCAATATTTATAAAGAAATAAATGTGAAAACAATTTTTTTATAAATTTATAAACATTTACTAAATTATTAAAATATGCAAACCATCTATAAGAAAATCCTTATTTACCATTTTATAAAGTTTGAATCAATTGGCTAATGTTTTGCCAACCATTCCAATGAAACCAATCTAATAGTGTTTATTATTTTTGTTATCAAAGCTGTTGAAGTAGAACTTGTCTTTACAAATGGAATATAGAGGAAATGAGAGTGATTAGACTCCATGGATGGGGCTGTGCTGGGTCTTAGCTGTATTGGTCTGAACTGGTGGAATTCAAAAATGGAACTTGTCTGAACATTTGCCATAGAAATAGTGATAGAGCAATGATAGGTGTGTGATATGTGCTTGTGGGGAAAGTAGCTGCAGTGTGGAAAATTTGTTATCCACTATAAATCTGTGTAAACACCTTTGAACTCTATCAAAGCTGGAAAGTGAGGATTGGGCAGTTTCAGCCTAGATATAGCAGCAATGCTTCATTTTTGGTCTAATCTGACTCCTGTAAAGATAAAGCAAAGTTGGAGTTGTGCAATGGGCATTTTCTTGCTATCTTTAGCAATTGATTGGATACAAGAGTTCAACTTGAGATCTGAAGGGAACTTGAGGAGCCTCATTGAAAGAACAGCCATTCATCCTGTCTGGAGAAAACTCAGGCTCTGATCAGTGACGATGAAATTATACTCATTTGGTTTTTAAGGTTTTGAAACTTACCAGCTAGTTTTTTTCCCTCATTGAGCTGTTAGAGCTTGATCAGAAGAGAGATCAGCTACCAGGTTCAGATCATCTTGATTTTTAATGCTCCATAAACTGTGATGTCATCTGAATAGTTGTTTGCCTTTCTTTTTTTTTTTTTTTAATCAGTTCACTCCAAGCAAGGTGGGAATGCCACTAATATGCAAGGGAGATGTTTACAGAAAGTGAAAGAAAAGACTGGTATAGGAGGGATTGAGGAAAGGATAAATGATGAATAGGATTCAAGAAGATAGATAGTGATTGACTTTGCATTTAAATTTTTATGAAAATTTGTAGTTATCAGGGAAGCAAGTAAACAGAAGGGAGTTCCACAGACAGGAAGTGGGAGAAAAGAAACTGTTGGTGGTTATATTTAACTATTTCAACAGTAAAATGGTGGGACCTAGATGCCACTCTAGGAGCACGAAGTCTGGGCACCAAAGAAAAAAGTTCAGCAGAGAAGTTGCCATGAATATGTTTGTAGAAAAGACAGATTGAAGCCATGTCACATCAGTGAGAAAGTGACTGAAGTTGAGATGCCAAGGCAGGATCAATTACATTGCAGATCCTTCTTTGGATTTTGTCAAAAACCTCAAGATGAATAGCAGGAGCACCAAACCAGATATGGCAACAATATTCACTGCATGGACAAATGGCAGATTTACTAATGATCTATAAAGCAACTAGTTTTACTTAATTTGCTTTTTAACTATTTACACTTTTAGTAATTAAAATCTTACAAGTATTTTGTCATTTCTGTCAAACTCTATTTGATTCCATACAAGAATGAATTGACAATTACTTAGCTTAACAATTTGAGTCTGTTGTGTTTAATTAACAGTAATACCCTTGCTTGGGAAAGGCATGAAACCATTTCTTGTCCCCTCAACCCAAGCTATCAATAAAACAGGCTAGGCTCTCCAGCCTTGATTAGCAACTAATAGTAACTCCACCTCTATAAAATGCATTTGTTACTAAAATTTCTGCAGTATCACCTAATGTAGTGTTGTTGCAACTTTATTCTTTATTGGGAGTCTTTGGATTCAAGAAGTTTACAAAAAGAAAAAGAAAAAAATTAATTTCTCTAAATGAGGAAAATAGTTTTTACAACAAACTTGTTAGCCATTACAACAATTAGCTCAATTTTTTTATTCTTTTTTTTTATTGACTTATGGCTGTTTTCATTTCAGGTTTACTCTTCAGATATGAGCAGCAAAGTAGGAAAAATCAGTAAACAGTGGACAGGTTTGGTGAAAGAAGTCTTTACAAAAGCTGATAACTTTGGAGTTTCTTGTGAGTATATTTGTGTTTTTTAATTAGCCATCTTAACTTTTTTTTTTTTTTTTTCATCAAGAGCAATATCAATTTTTTCACGCTTCTGTTGTTACAACCAGAATAAATATTTCAAAATCCAATTGAAGTTTATAAAATTACAAAGTCTTTTTTAGCTGTCAGTTTTACAAATGCTGACTGACAAAAATTAAAGCAATACCGTAGATAATCAAAATTTTTCAATAACAAATAAAAAAGATAACATTAAGATTATTAAGTAAAGGTGTGACATAATCCATCTGGATCATTGGTTACTTTCTCTAGTTTTCCTTGATCCAGAGTTATTTTCTTCTTTATTGGAAAGCTGAACATTTCAAAAAACATTTTAAAATCTGGAAAATTCTTTTTTAATAGACAGCTTCTTTTAGTGAGAAATTGGTAAGATGCGTTTGAATTTCAGTTGTGTTTGTTGCATTCACTTATGTGCAAATACTTTTGCAAAAGGTAAGAATTTCTCTTTTCTCTCCCTAGTTATGGGCAAACTGCATGGATAGACTAGGCCCTTATAGCCTTGGTAGGAAAACCAGTTGAGGAGAAAGAAAATTGTGAATTCAAACCTGCCTGGAGAGGTTTAGGCTCAGTCAGGCTATCTTGCCCAAGACACACCATTTCTGCTACAGCTGCAGTATATTTTATGCCCCTATTACCCTAATGCATTACCGAAGTCATAATTGTGATTTTCATTTATTGGATAGAATGTCTCTTGTAAATGAAAAATAGTTTTAGAAATGCAAGATTCATTGGTTCAGTTTTCACATATAAGACTTTAGGTATTTTCATGTAATGGAAAAAAAAAAAAAAGAAAGAGATGGATTACCAGAAAAGAAGTATTTCTTTCGTTGTATTCAATTTGGTAAAAAGACTAACACTAGTTGTAATGACAAAAGTATGCTGGTGTAGGCTTTAAGAAAGCTTTATTCAACTGAGAATACGAGGTTTGTGTGTAGTGTCCTTTTATAGTCCCAATAAAGAGAAATAGCTCTCTTAAAGAGGAGAGTAACAAAACAAGGGCAGACCACTCTTGGTTATTCATAATACTAATTTACTATGCCACAGGGTAAAAAAAGACATGAATACATGTAAAAATGTACTGAACAGGTGCCTGTTACAGAATGCGAACACTCAGATCAGAATGGTCAGCAATTGGCTGGAGTCCCACATGGACATGGTATTCTGACTGATGGATCTTCTTTGTCTGGGTTTTGAATATAAGTTCAAAATGGCGCAAATTCAACAGATGGCTGCAAGAATTCTGAAGTGTTGATACACCTCCCTACCCAGGTTAGCGACTGGTTAAGAGCATCCACAGAGGGATGCTGAGACAATGTATGACATGTGTTTCTGTGATGTCATTCCACCTGCAGCCTCTTAGAACCCATCTTATGGGATGAATAAGAAAAAGAAATTGTCCTTTTTGTTGATACCATTTTATGTAGATTTTTTTTTTTTTTTTTTTTTACCTCTTTTGATTTACGCCCCCAACATTTTTCGTTTTAGACTTGTGTGACTGATTTATAACCTTTGGAATTACAAGCCTGGATTTTTGGTCTTTTGTATCTGAACCTCCCCAATACTTTTTTCTTAACAAAGTTGTGAGCATGCAAACAATCTGTACTATTCTAAATATGCAAGAAGAACAGTATTTTGTGAACAAAGGCACATGACAACAACAAAATATTCATTATGAAAAGATGAAGATTTACCAAGGAGGAAGGGAAAGAAAAATATGTGTTGGTATTGAGGAGGAAAGATGTTTGCAGTATTTGTGATATGTAGTAGTCACTATTGTTGACAGTGAGATTTTGCGTCCACTAGTTGGTGAAACGAGAAATTGCTGATTGGCATAATGGGCAGTTTGGAGAATTTTGCTGGACTGATCTAACATATTTCTCAACTTAAACTCCATTTTTAAATAGTGATAATTAATATTTAATTTGAAGATGATTTAATAATCAGAGAAATTGAAATAAAACTTACTTCACTTGTTTCTTTAATCTTCCTGAAATTATTATGGAAATTGCTCTCATTCTCTCATATGTAAAATTTTAAACTTTCAGTGTTTGTAAGATAATTTTTTTATTTTAACAATTTTTTATTTCTTTTCAATAGTCCCAATGGATCTTGATGTGAAAATGAAAGCTACAATGATTGGAGCTGTATTCCTAATTGTAAGTCACTTTTTTTTCTTTTTAAAGATTTCAATATGAATTTAAATAACTAAATTTAATGGTAATAATCCTAATGTATTACTGATGTTTCTAAAGAACTACCATATATTTCCGTGTATAAGACGACCTTTAAATCCCAAAAATCACCCTTAAATCATCTTATACTACAATTCTAAAAAAAAGAACCCTTAAATTCTGAGTGATATTTGTCAGTAGGCTAACCTTGACCTTGGTATGATAACCAATAATGTACATGAAAAGATTCACATTATCAAATAAACAGATAATAAAAGTAATAAAACCATTTCTACTTTATATATTACTAGCATAACTTCATAATAAATTGCCTATTTGAAGAATAATTCCATATCAATGAAATCAACTTGTATCCATGCAAGATCAGCTGAGAATATGTAAGCATCAATTTATGATTATGTTCACAGCAATGGAATATACTATTATCGTACTGTTATTGGCGGTAAATAGCCATTATGACATCAGGCTGTTTGTAACTGTTTAGATATAGAAAAAGTAAAGGAAGAAGAATTGGTATTTGCAAGAGATCCTGTGATGAAATGTAAACAAAACAATGGTTTCCCTTTTAGGAGATGTGTGTAGGAAAAACAGAATTGATTTTTTTTATTTCATTTATTTTGAATTTCTAAGGATACAGTAACATTTCCAGTAACATCATTTTTATATAATCAATTAGCAATCAGTTTATAAAACAGGTATACGATATATTAATGAAAATTTGCTATATTTTTTGACCTCATCTTATCTAAAGGTTGCCTTATATGTGGAAATATATGGTAATTAAAAATAGACTAGAAAATGAAAAAGATTGAGAAAACATAAATTAAAATCCCCATAGTATTCCATTTATAATTATCATTGACTGGTGGACTCCAAAACACTAACACATAAGTACGGTATACTAATAGAAGGATTACTCTTTTTATTAAGTTTTACTCCACAACTGCACTGTAACTGAAAATTTGTGTGGTGTGATATTTCTGGCTTTTTGATTTATTTGGAAATTTGTGCCTTTGTTGAAAGAATTAAAAATCCCAACTGGTTCAGAAAAGCTTTTATAATTTGGGAAATTCATATTTACTCGGACAATGGTAGGTATTTATTAAAATTCTGTCCTTTATTAAAGTGAATAAAACAATTATCAAAAGTCTGCCTTTAAGTGAACATCTTATAAAGATTAATTGGTTTTAATTTGATTATATCAGTAATATTTGTATTTTGAAGGGGAGATAATCAATAATTAGTAATGATAAAGGGAGATAATATTTAAACACTACTGAAATATGATGTAATAACGAGCAATGAATGCTGGACAGTCTTCTCACAGATGAGACATGAAACACCAGAAATGTGGTTTTATAGAAGGATGCTGAGGATACCATGAACCGAACATGTAAGCAACGACAAAGAAAATGGAAACGAAAAGGACACTTATAATTAACATCTGAAAAAGTTGAAATTTCTAGGGTGCATAATGAAGAAAAAAGCTTGGAATATTTGATACTAATAGGACATCTTGAAGGCAAGAGACAGAGAAAAACAGCACATAACCTACCTAACGAGTTTTTGTAAATGGTTGGCGGAACAGGATTTAGGAGTAATGGTGAAAACAAAGAACTATAAAGGACAGGAAATTGTGGAGAGCCATAATTGCTGACATCCTGAAGGAACACAACATAAAAGAATAATAATACTTATTTTCAGATAATGTTGGTAAGCATAAAAATTTAAAGAACATTTTTATCCTAGTTTTGAGAAGAGTAAATAGAATATAGTTTATTATTAAAGGTATTATAATAGAAAGAAATATTTTAAAATCTTTTTCTTTGTTTGCTTGGCTTATGACCATGTCACATTGAAACCCAGCTTTTCATACAATCACTGAAGCTAAGCAACATTGGGGGATCACTTGGTAATTCCAGATGCTGTAATCTTCAATGTGTGGATGGTGTCATGGATAATGATTTGGAATTTGGATGGCCGATTTCCAATTCCAGTTGAGTTTGTCACATTCACTTACATCTAAATATACTTGGGTAAGGTATGAATCCACCTCTCCTAGCTATGGGTTAATTAGTAGGATTTGTATCAGTAAATAATTATCTCTGAAAAATTCTTACAATCTAAAAATATTTGTTGGCTTTAAATAACCTGCAAAAGGTTGGTAAGCCATAAAAAACAAATCGATCACTCTTTATTACTCATTTTTCTTTCAATCCATATAAATCTTCTTTGATTTTATGATTTGTCAGAATGAGCAACCACTTTTTCACCACTTGGCTGATACTTTAAATGGAGGTTACAAAACAGTTTTCACAATCACTCTGAAGTTGGTACTTTTCCTTTCTGTTTTATTGTCATGCACATTTGTATTTTCTGGAAACAAATACTATATATACTTAAGTATAGTGCAGGTTTTTTATATGTCTATATCTCTGAGATGAGGTATTGTGATTATTTACATTATTTATATTATTCAGACTGTTATCCTCATCTTCATAGTCATATTCACAACATTTCGGTCTTTGTGCACTCCAGCCTTCTTCAGGTGATTGGAATTTCAAACTGCATCGTTTATTTCATCCACTGGAGTAGATTGTTCTAGTTCCATGTGCCATGCCTCTTCCAGATGTCTCAATTATTTCCCTTTAACTCAACTCTCTAAGTTTTGGTTCACCACTGCTGTAGCCAGGTATCGAACTCACAACTCTTTGGATCTAGTCACTGGATTTAACCAACACCTTTATCCAATGGCCCATGTGTCCTTCTAAAAAACTGGTGGTGGGTGCACTATACACAAGTAATTTTTTTGAAGAGATTAAAAATCATGCTTTTTCAGTGACTGGTTGCACTGTACACAGGTAATTTTTTCTGGAGGGGTTAAAATTCATGCAAAAAATTTAGGGGGTTGCACTATACATGAAGTCGGCTTATACATGAGTATATATGCTAAACAATATTTTATAGTGGATAAAAATGTTTATTTTATTTTTAAATAGATTTTTTTTTTCTTTTACAGGATTTCATGTATTTTGAACAACCTCAAAACCAAAATCATGACTGAAGAAAATCTCTACCTGCTTAATAATTATGATGTGTTTTTAATATGATTAGAAAAAAAAATGAAAAAAAAACTACATCAAAATGTAAATGATTTTATTGTTGATATATCATTTGGCTGAAATAATTTTGTTTATAATTAAAATTATACTTATATAATCTTTTTAAAAATACATGTATTTTATTCAAATTGTCTGCCTATCTATATTGGGTAAAATATTTTATTTGCGATATTATTTTTGTTTCAGTGTAAACAAAACATATATACATTGTTAAACAATAATAAATCCATCAAGATAATTTTAAACATTCACTCGTCTCCATTTCATGCCTATAACTTGGTGTGGACCTCCTGGATTTGCTTGAATATCTATAGCTGGCCAAAATTGTTTTTGAAATTTATGTTTAATTCTTTCTATTGTTAAATTTTCAGGTGTAAATGTTTCTGTTTTTCTTTTCAAAGAAGTAGACTTTCAAATCATGACATTCACCTAAATGTGCAATTCTTAAGCTTTTCTTTCTCATGCCACACTTTAAAATCCTGAAAAAATATTTTAGCACACCTTTTTTTTTCAAAAGAAGTATTTATACATATTAGTGTAGCATAAAATACAAATACTTAAAAACATACAAATAAATGCATGTACTTTATTCTTTAAATGGCAAACTTCATGTACTTGTTACCCACCTTCCAATCCAGTGTTTCTCAACCTTTTTAAGCAATGGTACACCTAGGTTAAAATGAAAATATCACAACACACTTAGCAAAATTTTTAAAGTGCGTAATTTAAATGTTATGAAATAAAACCATAGATTTAAAAAAAATACACAAACAAATATGAACTTCTTTTATTTCAGTGTTTCTATTCAACTATTTGTGCAGCTTATTTAGTGTGAAACCTATGACTGGTGTTTTTTTGCAATTTCTTCAATGTTTGGTTGAATGTGTGATAAGCAGACTCATTTTTTCTTCAGTTGAGAAGAGTTTTCTAAGCCTTATTCACATAAATAAGAAGTAGAAAATTGCAATAAAACTGATAAGGCCTTTTTAGCTTTATGTGGGATATTCCATTTATATTGAGATTCAAAATGTATCAATGGATGCCATTGACTGTTTTATTTTGAGCCCTTGAAAAATAAAAATTACTTTTTAAAAATGAATATTAAAACAAAGTATTTAAAATAACATAATCGGAAAATAGTGAAAAGATTTATTTAAAAAAAATTTAATACTTATTCATTTATTCAAATACTAACACTGTACATTTACTACTTCTCATACACACCACGACAATTAAGAATCACTGTTCCAGTCTAACATCACTTGAAATGGCACCAAATGTCTTTTTCAGTTGTAACTGACGGTTATATATACATTTTATTTTTAGTGGATACCCATATTTGTGTAGATGCTCTGTTTATTTTTTTTAAACAGTATATTTATTTTTGTGTACCGACCTGAATATTTGAGGAATCTTATTAAAGAAAAAAATGCGCTCTCTAGTAGGATAAAGATCTGTCAGATTAATAAATAAAAATCCATCACTCTAGAAATTGTTTTGTTTACCTTAGCATATGAAACTGAGCTGATATGTATGTTTCGAGAATCTGGAAAAGATTTGTTTAAAGGCACTATTCAACTTTGCTTGATCATTAATGCACATTGTGGCTGAGAGGTCTAAAGCACATCGGATCTAACGATAGTTTCCCATGCCCAAGTGGACACAAGTTCAAATCCTTCTGAAGAGTCCATATTTTTCTTTAATAAGATTTTTTGAATATTCAGCCCAGTAGATGAAAAGAAATAAATATACTGTTTAATAAATAAAGTGAGTGCCTACTCAAATATGGGTATCCACTAAAAATAACGATTATGCAATAAAATTCTGTCAGATTAATAAATAAAAATTCATCTCTTTCTTTAAAAAATAATTTTTATTACAAATTCCGGTTATATATTTTTAAAATTTAATCTTGCTCCTTTGCGGTACACCCACCAAATTTAATCTCAGGGTAAATCAGTACTCTACAGCACACATTTTTGGTAACACTGGTCTAAATACCAGTTGTTTATTATGTTTATTAGTTAAATTTGTATCATTAAATGTGTATAGATGTTTTTTTTAACATAGTGGAAAAAAATAAACAAATTTAATTAAGACTTTCAGGAAAAATAAATGCTATTTCTGTCCATCCTGTCTGCTTCATAAAGTTTACAGTGTATATATTTGTGCAGGTGAATTATTTTCCTGCTCTCATGTAAGTGCCAGGTTTGTGTAAAGATTATACCAAGCTTTAACGTACCATTTGATGATTATGGTAATTCTACTGTAGGTCTTGAAAATATTCCAATTTGCCTTTCACTGCCTAAATGCAAATAATTCCAAGGGTAATAAAATATTTGATGCTGTAATTTATTTTAACAGCAATATTTTTTCTGATTTCTCTTGAATAAATAAATTATGCAGAATAATTAAAGGTAGATCATCCAAATCCTTCTTGCTCTTGTTGGAGGAACCCCTATCTGTTTAATCTTCACCATTTCCTTTCTCTGGCTTTACTGGGCCATGTGGAACTGAGGTATCGGGTCACATTGTCATGTCATGTTACCTATAGCCGTCCTCTACTTTTTTACCACTGCCTTGGTGTCCACTCTGTCCCCCTAATAGTCTACCTGTTGTCTTTGAGACAAGAGATGTGGCCAGCCTATCTATGTTTGCTCTTCTTGATGGTCTCCATTATGTCCTACACTCCAGGCTGCTTTCAAATTAAATTATAATTAGATGAAATCCAGATAATAAAGATAGCAATATTTCAGAGTTATTTCCCTTGTTTACGAAAACTGAGCTGATATGTATATTTCGAGAGTCTGGGAAAGATTTTAAAAAATGTGAAAAATTAAATTTGAGAAAAAAACAAACTCGTTCATGAATATTAAATTTTCTATTTCTGTAATGTAGTGTATCTTATATCGATATTAAATATTGTATAAATGTCTCGATAAATAAGCAATCTAAATTGTAAGAAATGGCCTACAAATAACCAGTATACTGTAAATTGTGGCATACAAGTCGACCTAAAGATTTTTAGCTCAAAATTTCAAGTAAGGCCTATACCTAACATATAGGTTGATCCACCAAAACACACAGTAGACTACTGGTAAATGAAGTTAGGCTACAGTATACCTGTGCCAAAACTACATGAAGTTGCACCACTAACCTGTATATTGAAACACTAACTGTAATATCTTTCTATATGCATTGAATAGCAAACAACCTACAATACACATTGGAAGGTACCATATACTGAATTGGAATAACATAGCGAACATTTAAAATTCGTCAGGTCTTCTGTTTGTTTCCTTTTTTATGGAAGTGCGTAGAAGATGTGAACTGGTAGTCATCTGTGATTAGACTATGAATTGCCAAGAAAAGTTGCAGTGTTTGATTAAAAATGAGGAATGTTGTAGCTGACAGATGGCACACAAGTTGATACCTGATCAGTATAGTCTGGGTCACTATGGAGTTGGGGCATGATGTTGAAAGACCTGAAACCCCTAATGAAGCTCGTCTAAAAACATCACTGATGTGTGCCAAAGCATCAAAGGTATTTCATGAAATGTGTCATTAAACTGTTATTACTATCATGAAATTGCGTAGATGACATGCATACCTTACCAAGTTGTCTGAATGACCACACAACTTAAATGGCTCTTTGGTCAGTGTATCACCTGTTGGACGTGATGTCATTAATAGAATACTAAATTTGTGTTACTATTTTATTATTTTATATTTCTGTGTTAATATACCAAATATGTTCACCAAAAACAAATTTTAGTGGGATATATTTGTGGCAATCTGCTAGATGTATGGTAAGTGTTGTCCCACTTGTTTACAACTCAATGGTAAAGGTTTTCATTTTATACCCATCATATAAATCAACCCCTAGTTTTGGAAAGATCTTTCTAGGCTTGAAAATTTGACTTGCATGCCACAATTTATGGTAAGCATCAAAATCTTAAATGTTGTTTTTCCTCTTTTCATTATTGTGGTTAACTAGCCACTCTGTTCTATCATCATAAACTGTAATCACTTAAAGATTTCTCTCAGTTGGGTTCTAATGCAGTCCTATCTTTAACTGCTACTGCTTGGTTTGTTGAACTAGCAATTATTTAACCTTTAGAACTGATTTATTATCTCTTGTGCCAGCATTGTATCAGTATTTGAATGTAAGTAATAGACATTTTCAAATGTTAAACTACAGTGTTGGTTCTTTTAATCTTGTTGTCTGAGTAGTACTATGATCTTTCATAGAAGGCAGCATATTCATGTACTTGTAAAAGCTGGAATATTTAATATTATGTCTATAGTTCTTACGTTTGCTTGCAATGAAAATTAAGTAGGTGGCAGTTGAAGTTCAATCCCAGAGAAAACTTGTGTGTACTTGTAAAAAGTAGGGAATTTTTTTTATGACTAATTTTTTTAATGACAAATTTTGTTAATTAGCCTTCATTATACCTTCCTCTAATTATGATATTTATTAGAATAATTTTTTTTTTTCTAAGAATTATCTTTTACCTTGTTTTTCAATTATACTCAAATTATTACTTATACTTATTATGTCAAATTTGAAACCTTTCCTACATCATTGGATTCTTACATTTATGAACATACCAATTGCCTTCACTAGTGTTGGGTCTTATAACCAAATTTGTTTTTCTGGTCAATATCATTGTGCCTATGGCTATTGTCTACAATTTAGCTTATGTTGATAATTAAAAAAAAAACCCAAAAAACCAAAAACTCTTTCCCATATGTATTTTATTTTTTTTCTAGAAAAGTGATGGCCATCTTTGATTTCTAAATTAATGCCATGTATATAAAATATGCTGTTTTAAATTTTAGTGTCCTGATTACTAGAAACTTATCTTTCTATATAATTTTCATTTAATCTTTTTCTATTTTTTCTTATTGTAATCCTTCTTGACTAATCAAATGCCTTGTA